AGCACTTCAGCATGTGATTATGAAGGCCCTAAGGAAGAACCTAGTGCTCATGAAATTTCATTTTCGATTAAAAAATTGTTTACTTATCCCAGACTAGAATCAATACATATTTTTTTGAAAAATGAAATTTCATGAGAACCACGTTCTTCTTTAGGGACTTCATTATCACGTGCCGAAGTTTCAAACGACTCGGTACACCCAGTTTGAGGAAAAGTTTTATAAATATTTTCACGTCTTGTATATATAGAATAACCCTTTCGTATCGCCTTAAGGAAGAATGGTATATTTCAAAAAAGCCCGAGTTGACCGGCTGCCGCGTAACGGCAACCAGGGGTAACACTTATGACGTAGCACTTGTGACGTAGCGTCATGGCTGTACCGTGTCTTGGAAATCACATCACAGCGATTTTGACATCAAGCAGCCCTATCCCAAGAACGTCGATAGTAAGTTACAGGGTGCCGGACCTCGATAAAAATATCATACTTCAAGAAAAGAAATAAAGACATTGTTAATAAGCAATTCATTAGAAAACAGATATCTATTGTACTACGCAACAAAAGAACTCGACATTTATAAGTTTTATGAGTTATCGCGGTGTGTGTACATTATTGCATCGAATGAAACATTCTACAAGGGCCCTGATAAGTATGGTCATGTAGCCGGCTGCTTTTGCCAGTCGTCCACTGCGCATCTTCTACTGCGCATGACATCACGACGTACAACTAGCGCTCGTGGCGGAAATTCGCTCAAGTTTTATGCGAGGGAAATGCCCTCATTGACAGCTTTGCATGTTCGCACTCATAAATGTCGAGTTCAGCTATTCAACGGCGGTTCCCAGGGATATGGGGTGAAGTTGACGAGGGTACAACTTTCCCTGCGTGGCCCTTTTGTTGACTCTCATTAGTGATTCCGTGTAACAGTGCTATAAGTGTTACACAAGCAGCGACATAGGCCATATTGGGCCGCCATGACAAATTCGTGGGCTACAAATTCGGATTTTTACTCATTATTTATATTTTTTCTAACAAATAATTGAAAAATCTGGCTCCGCAGGGAATGTTATATTTTCGGAAGGTTGTGATTTCATCCACTTAAATTATTCAAAGTACATCCTGTACAGATATTTTTGAGTTCGAAGTTTCTCCGGTTCCAACTCTTGTAGGCGTGAAAACGCACACAGAGAAAATGATGTACCATTCCCCCTTAAGATAATGCAAGCTGCGTTTTCTCGATACTCTACCAGCTTCTCGCAGAAAAATGTATTTGGTTCGAAACTCTACCGAGTTTCTTGATCTTACCTCTTGATCAACATACTGTAACAGGTACGTCCAGCCAGTAAAATCAGACGGATCTTCATTGACAGCTTTCCAGTATTTCTCCAATTCGGGAAGCGTTTTCTTTTTCGGCGATGCAGGCTTAGCGTCAGATTTCTCTCCCGCATCGGAATCCGTAGAAAGTGCAACCTTTTTGGCTGGAGTCTCGTCATTGTTTTCCGAAGTCGGTGAACTTGGATCGTATTCTCCCTCGGCGTTTAATTTACGTTTATCTAAAATATTAAAAACATTAAAATTCTTTAATTCACTAGTAATGGCAGCAATTGCTCGTTTTGTTCCCGTATATTTTATGCAATATTGTGTAACGAGAATAAGAAAAATAAGGTCGATGATGCATGACATTCTAATTCAAAAAAGTTTAGTATGTCTCCTCTTATCGTTTTTCAATACTTAAATATTACCATTGAAATGTTTACATACTTCCTCCTTCGGGTTTTACATTCTTCTCCGGCGTTTTCCTTGACTTTGGTCCACTCTTCTTCTTCTTCTCGCTGTCTGGAGGTAATTCATCTTCTGAGACAGATTCAGTTTCGCCCAAGTCCGCTGGAGGTGCCGCAGGTAATTCCTCGTCGGAGACTGCTTCCGTTTCAGGTTCCTAATTTTAAGACACAACATTCCGATACAAACTTTAGACTTAGTTTAGCTTTCAGAACTTATAAGTTCAAAATAGACAGGAGAGTGATAAACCAATATGGTATTAAAAAACGAAATACAAATAAAAATTAATGAATATGATGTGGTTGAATGACAGTAGAAGCGAATGATCTATCCACTAGTACCTTACCCTTAGTTTTTGTTACATACATATGAGTGTACAACATAAAATTCGGTGTTAGGATGGAGTGGGTAGGATCATTTGATTGCTCAAAAGGAAGGTGTACCTGAACTAAACACTCGAACGGAGAAAACTCTTCATCTGAGATATCTTCCATTTCTTCACAATTCTAATTAAAATGTTAAAAGAACAATAAAAGATGGATATGGAATGTGTCCTACTTCTTCGCACAAGATGCAATATGACGAAAAACACATACAAGGAACGTTAATTATGCTTTGGTATTATTGGGACGTTTAAAGAATTTTTAATTTCATACATCTCATTAATGATCACAAATTTAGTTACCTTTGCTGTAGCTTCACTAGGTAATTCATCCTCGGAGACAGCTTCTGTATCTGGTTCCGTTTTCTTTATTTTAATATCTTGTTCAACTTTAATGTGTACAGATTCACGTTCTTTTGCAGTATCAGCTTCACCAGTTTCTTTTATACTAGTCTCTATATCTTCTATAGTATGAACTTCTTCTACAACGTCCTCTCCGTCGATTACATCCATTACTTTAATTCCGATTCTCTTCAAGTCCACTGTATCTGTACTGCAAATATCAGATACTTGTGGAGTATCATCTCCTTCCAACATTTCAACGACTTGCATTATACCATCCGCGTCGTTGGAAATAACTTCTGTAAATACTACATGATCGTTCTCTTGTATTTCCATCTTTTCCATACTATTTTCTTCCAATGTGATAATAGTCTCTATTTGTTCATTAGGTCCCTCCTGTGACCGAAATAAAAAAAAAATGTATACTCCAATTATAATAGATAGATCCAAAGGGTACAGAAAAGTAAATGAAAACAACCAAATTAACCATTTGACTGAAATCAAATTAACTTTATTCAAGGCAAATTTCGATCTCAAGTTTATTGCGTATGCATATGTATTTTACATGTCATGAAATTACTATATCATAATTTAATTTTTGTCAGCACTCCATTAATATGAATAAGCTTATAATACACTTTTATTTAATTGCATGTAATTGAAAAAATTGTTGTGTTAGCATGAAAAGGTTGCAATAAAAGATATAACGTTACAACTTATTTATTTCATACGTAATATCATTCAAAGTTGATCTAGGTAAAAAATACTTATTTAATTTATATATCATTCATTATAATAAACATTAATTATTTTAGTTACTTGATTTCAATCATTTCTAAAGATTTCTAAACAAAATTATAAGTAATAACTTACCAAGAGCTGGGTAGATTCCTTTATTTTTAGAGTGGACAAAATAGGTGTCGCAGTAGGTATACTGCTTACGACTGGAGGTGGCGGAGCCTCTAGTTCAGGAACAGCCTGAGCATTCTGATCCATGTGAAGACCTTGAATGATGCCAGCGTCTCGACTGTTCGCATCCTGGGAATCATCTAATTCTAAATGCATCGTTGTCGTTTCTTCCTCGGGATGTTCAATGATTACATCGTCAAACTGTTGAACGCCGTTTTCAGGAGCTTCGTCCATTTCTTCGATAACTTCTTCGCCACCCAGAGACGTTTCTTCCTGTATGGCATAATTCTAATTCAGTAATCGCATTAATACATAAGACGATGTCTTTTAAGAACAAGAAATGGTGCCTCACCTCCAGTTCAACTTCCTGTATTCTTTTTTGGGAGCGAGTCGCTCTCGCCAACAGTTTTTTCGCCGGCGATTTCTTCGCTACAACCGGCGACTTTCTCGCACGTCCCGATCTCGTTCGACGTGCTGTAAATGCAAATTCATTGGTAAATACATGTACAAGTCGAGAAATTCATTAGTAGGACGCTATTCGTATAATGGCTGCCAAGACCTCGCAATAAGCCAACATGCCGGCTGGCATTGTTATCAACCTCGGATTTACAGTTTAGCGGAAGAAAAAAATGCGTCATGTTCTTGATTATTAACCGACAGAAAATACGAATAACAAACCTGTTTCAGTCGCAGTGATTTCACTCTCTTCGCCGCTTAAAGAAGACATTCTTCTGATTTCACGAAACCCGACACAGGCGATTGGGAATGTAAAACGTAGAACCGAAATTCAAGATGGCGGCGAATAACCCGAGCAGCAATGATTGCTCGAGTATGTTCGTGAATGCATTTGTAAACATCCGAGTTTTAACAGAGATAAGAGTGTCTATGCTCCAGTTTCGCAGCTACATCAGGCTGCTGCCATCTAGCGACGGTGCACTGAAACTGTTCCACAGTTTTATAAAGAGAAACAAATCTGAAATTTCATACAATAAAATCATGCGTGAATATTTTTAGGAGGGAATACATAAAACCCTTAATTATATTAACACTTTTAATAATATTTATTACTCTTTACTTTGAACTTCACGGCGTATTGAAAAGAAATGTTACTTGAATGAAGAAACGTATCGTGTTTGAGTGGGAAGAAATGAATTATTTATTTACGAAGTAGATAAAGATGATTTTATTTTACTCTAGAGTTACAATTACTGGCTTGGAGATTCTGGGGTCCCCTGGTACAAACGCCTGGGCGTTATAGTCGTTGATTTCGAAAATGTCGATTGGGATAAGTTTAGAGGGGAAACTAGGCCAATGCCCGGTCTCTTTTTTATATTGGAGGATAATAGGAGTTGGATGTAGAGGGGAAGCTAGACCAAGCCCCGCGTCCTCTTATATCAAAGGAATAGTAGGAATTGGATATAGAAGGGAAGCTAGACCAAGCCCCGCGCCCTTTTATATCAAAGGAATAGTAGGAGTTAGATATAGAGGGAAAGCTAGACCAAGCACCGCGCCCTTTTGTATCAAGGAGATAGTAGGAGTTAGATATAAGAGGAGAAGCTAGACCAAGCCCCGCGCCCTCTTATATCAAAGAAATAGTAGGAATTGAATATAGAGGGGAAGCTAGATCAAGCACCGCGCCCTCTTATATCAAGGAGATAGTAGGAGTTAGATATAGAGGGGAAGCTAGACCAAGGCCCGCGTCCTCTTATATCAAAGGAATAGTAGGAGTTAGATATAGAGGGAAAGCTAGACCAAGCCCCGCGTCCTCTTATATCCAAAGAATAGTAGGAATTGGATATAGAGGGGAAGCTAGACCAAGCCCCGCACCCTCTTATATCAAGGAGATAGTAGGATTTTTAGGACGTAATGGTTTCTTCTTTCAAAAGAGAGAAGAAAAGAAAAGAAAAAGTTCGTGTAATGTGAATGATCGATTTATTAAAACAGAAAAAAATTGGTACCTTGAATAATAGAGAAGAGACTGGTTTTCTTCCTCGCTCGTACCTTTTTGGAAAATGCTCGTTGTCAATGTCGCTCGCTTGTTGTCGAAAGAAAAAGAAACTGAAGCTACTCAAAGTAAGGGTCAGAATATTATTGCAGTAGAATGAAAAACAATTTAACTACAACAGTGAAAAATTATAGTTTAGTTAATTCCCGCTGCGATAGGTAGTAATACATAATTATTGTAAATTTTTTCAAATATTATGTACAAAACTAAAACGCTAAATCGTTCTGTACACGAAGAAGATACATTAATAATTACTTTTATTTATATTATGTTGAGATGTTAGCATAAATTTTGTATTTTCCTGTTTGTTGGTCTTTTCAATTTTGAAATTTGCCGCCAAATTCGCGGGCTACCCTTCTTGCACTCGGTCGGGATCGAGGGTAGAAAGTGTACATACAGAAAGTGTTCGCTCGGGGTAGATGCCCTCGCAAAATGAACAGCGACGTCTGCGTCACTTCCGTCAAAACGAACGCCAAAGTGTACACTTTTCGTAAAAGTGTAGAAAGTATAGGCAAAACGAACAAACCTCTTATGTTAGCGCTTGCAAAGAATTCAGAAGTCTCCATAGAAGCCCAGAAGTATACGGACGTTCGATGCTCGATAAATAGTATGTTAGCCAACGGATGGCGGCGCTGTAATCATCTCTCCATCTCTCTTAATCTTATGGCGATATATAGCGATTGCATTCTTTCTTTATCTTACACGCAATACTCGCCTTTCTATATGCGTCTCTCTTCCTCCCATACGTGAGATATCGTTGGCTAACACGTGCGATCTCTTTTTTACCCCCACTTCTGGTTTGTTAGCCAACTTTTAGAGCATCAAGTGCTAACATAGGATCTGGGGTTCTATGGGATTCTGAATTCTTTGGCGCTTGATACTCTAAAAATTGACTAACAAGCCAGGAGTGGGGGTAAAAGAGAGATCGCATGTGTAGCCAACGATTCCCACATACGGGAGGAAGAGAGACTCATATAGAAGGCGAGTATTGTAAGATAAAGAAAGAATGCAATTCGCTATATATCGCCATAAGATTAAGAGAGATGGAGAGATGATTACAGCGCCGCCATCCGTTGGCTAACGTACTATTTATCGAGAATCGAACGTCCGTATCCTTCTGGGCTTCTGAATTCTTTGGTATGCGTCATCTCTCTAAAATTCGCAGATTAAATATAAAGCAGTTGCATCAAAACATAACTTTTACGCTAAAAATGTCGCCTAGCTAAATAAGAATTTTTCCCAACTGCGAACTTCGGACTCGGTGTTCCCTATTTGTTCTTCGTAGAATGGTCAGTCTTCTACCAAAGTTGAATTCGCCTACTGGTGTAAGTATAATTAACTCAATGTGCTACATTATGTGTTTCCGAAACTGAGCGTATGGATTAATACTTTATCTACCGACGAATTTAAAAGTAAATAACGATCACGGGTATCGTAAACCTATTATTAGGCCTCCGATAGATAAAGCGTTAAGAATGTCGTGCGAGAAAGTGACAAAAAGTTCCCAACATAACCTCTTATGATTGCATTACAGAGGATGCCGTATTGTTATTTGTTGTGCAATTATATAATAAATTGACAAATGCATCAATCGTATCGATAGACTGACCAATTTATGTGGTACTCCAGGGTGCAGTATTTTTTGATACTTCGATCAACATGGACGAAGGCGAGGGTTTTGAACCCGTTTGGTCATCGGAGGATCAGGAGAGCTTCCAAAAATTGAATACTGTACCGATAGCTATTATTCCACTTGTTATGGGTGTTCGTATATTTATATAGATTATTTATGCAAGTTTTATTGAGAATGATACATATAATGTCATATTCAGTTATCTTTCTTAAAGTGATGAAAATTATGAAATCATTTTTTCTATTATTACAGATTAGTTTGGAAATTACTGGTATAGTGCTAGCACTATGCATGGAAGAACAAAGTAAATGCGATACATATTTTATATTGTTGTATCTTCACTGTGTTTATTGGCTGGTGGTCATGCTGGCAGATCATGCTCTTAAGTCAAAGCACAATACTTTACGCATGGCTGGATATCTTGACTTCTATCAGTCAACTTACCGTCATATAAGGATACCCTTTTTCATTGTCTCTCTTTGGAATACCACTTATTTATTACTCGCTGCAATTTTTCATCATACCCATAAAACAGATTATGATATGTACTGCAGATCATCAAAGTGGATTACACCTGTGAATTATGTCCTGGTATTCACATCTTTAGAACTTATAACTATAATCGTGCCTGTTTACATCTATTACATCAGTAAGTACAAATCTTATTGTCTGAAAATATGTTCTTTTTTTCCATAGTTACAGTTTTTGTCTATATATCTGCAGAACGAGTTGTAAGATTTAACCGCATGAGACTTCCACCTGACGTTATGTGCGAAGAGTGGCTTACCTCGTGCACTCAGGATTCATATACAGGAAGCGGAGAGGTAGGCTATCGTCCACGAGGGTCAAACGTTAACGAATTGCTCGAAAAGCAAGCAGATTTAATCAGGTATTTAAAAGGCCATAATGACGTATTAAGTGCTCAGATGATGCTGCTGAGCAGAGAGTAGCCGAAGCATAAACAATGATTACGAGAACTAACGTGCATTGTGCACACGCGATAAAAAAATGAATTATGAGTGAGCATATTTTTATTACCTTTGATGTTAATTGTACCAAAACTAATACTTCTAATTGAATTTACGCTATTTTCTATATATTTGTGATAATTAAACATATGACTTCAAGAAATATTAATGTTTCACATAGCTAAGATTTAGTTACACATAAGTAATCATAAATATAGGTTTCGTGCACATATCTATTTGTCATGCCAAATATTGTAAATGCCAATTTGATTCTCTATAATAATGATCTTCATTTACATCCAGATAATAATCTGGTTTTGCTGCACAATTTAAATTGTTACCATTCTTTGTGATTTCTATTTTTCACTTTCTCTTATTTCTATTCATAATGGTTTATTATCTTCACACGCAATAAGTCAATCATTTTATTTTTTATTTAGACTCTTTAATCATTCATCTGTTTATTATGAAAAGCAAATTTACTTAAATTGCAAGCCTCGAAGAAAAGAATATATTCAGTTTCTTAATTAAAACTGAACATTCAAAGTTAAAATGCTTGAAAACAATTTTTACAAGACAATGTAAACAGCACGCCTAATATTATAAATGTTACCTTTGGAACCCATGTATTTAAGTTATTTTTTACGTTTCTGTTACAAAGTATCTTGATATTTAGTGATCATAATGTAATAATAATAACAACAAATGAGTGATTCATGAATCTGTTGAAGTTTGAGAATCTGAACTAGGGAAGAGTATTAAATTAGTATAATACACGCGTGGTGTACATCATAGTAACCATGCATCGTTAGTGACTTTAATTACTAGTTAAATTGTTCACTGTAATAAATATTATACATACGTCTTATGTATCAAATAAAATATGTATATATTTTCACTGGACGTTATCTTCCATCCATTAAAGACACAAAAAATGAATACGTACCACTGAATGCTGAACAAAAACTATAGGAGCATTGTAAGTTATGCTACGAAAAACAATACTCTGTAACCGTAATCTTAACTTATGTTTGATCTTTTCCTTTTCCTTAGGAACGCGAACCAATATCATGAAACGTATACATAATTACCACTTCAAAACAACCCCCCGAAGAAACATAACCTTTCCCAGCAAGGTAGTCCAAAAGATACAAATTGAAATTCATGCAACGAGCGTGGGTGACGTCATCTCCAGAAGTAGTATGGCGTATTTATTTACTTTTTACAAACGTCTCGTTACAAAATTGATAAGATGTATATCACTATAAATTATTACTAATTTGTTGTAGTAATATAACCGTTAGCGACATGGTAGTATTAACCCTTTTAGTACTCGGACTCTCCGATGAGGTTGTTCGTTAGGTTACCATTTGTTACCTCGTTCTGCAGTCTTACTGAGCTTCCTTTGAAAAAATTATTGCCAACAGAGTTACTCCGTCGCCTCTCCTCTTTCTAACCTTAAATGTACGCATTTATATATATATTTATATCTATATTTATATACTCGAATCACGATGGTTTTTCCGCACAGCTGAAGCCACATTCAGTGCCCCTACTCCCTAAAAACTATTTACCATTATACATACGATAATTACGGGCGCTTTATGTATTATAATACTATTATGAGTAACGCTGTGTTTACACCGTAAGTCTAGGTTCGGGTTTTCTCGAGTACATTCAGTTCTCTACAAGCATGAAGTAGTATAAGGAAACATAATACTTATGATCGGTTCCACAGAAAGTAACCTCAGAATCAGGATCCATGACTTCAGATGTTTTCAGATCGAACGATGCTAGCGCTACTTGCGGAAAGTGAGGGAACTTCAATCTTACATGACCGAAACATTTTCCATCAACGTAAGTGACCTTAAATGCTTTTAATTTTGCAATTAAGATACGCAAAGTGAAACGATAATCTGCGGATGATATACAAACTATGATGATTTTACAGTGACAAATACTGGCAGACTTGCTAGTAGAGGATAATTTTTAATTGCAAAAATTTCATCGAAGAGGCGCTCGGCATTAGATCAGAAAACATCTGAACATCTTAGACCCCTAATGAGGGGACGATTTCAATACGTGTCGTTAGATCTCCTTATTCTACTTCGTGTCTACAGGTGTCCATGAGTTTTTACCTGGGGATCTACGGATTGCGAGACACGAGTAGGATTATCCCTCGGCGACCTCATCACGGAGGATCGCATTGTCAAGTTTGAGACGATTCGGTACACCCGGTTCGGAGAAAAGTTTCATAGACGATACCTCTTTGACGTCACTCGCACATCACCTTAAGCAGAGAATTCAGAAGTCTCAATAGAAGCCCAGGGGTTCTATTACGGTAATCAAATTGAGCGAAAATGTGAAAAATGAGTAGCTGACGGTATTACGGAACGTGTTTGGTGGTGAAAATGCGAGACCATTTATGTGAACTGGCTCGACACAAATTTTTAAGCGAAATGGTGAAGCGTACAAGTATAAGTACAAGAAAAGATAGAAAAATAAGCGCCGTGAACGCCATCTTCCATGGATTGTGACACCAAAATTCAAAATGGAAAACCTCCTGGGTGGTTTGATTTTTGGCAACAATCGTATTCGGGGATGTAATAATAACCTTATTAGAAGAAGAAAGGAATTACGTGATGCCTCAGACCTATTTTCGTTAGAAGAAAGAGAATTTACTAGGATGTACAGGTTAGTTTTTGTTATTGCGAGGTTATACTACATTATTAAAAATTGAAACCTGTTAAATAATTCATGCTTACATGACATGATAAGAAAATTATATTGTTGAACTTCTAATTAAAGTAAATGTAAATGTGAATGTAATACATATTTAAAAAATATGAATGGACGAGTCCAAAATACGCAATAAACGGCCAGAAGGATACGTTCAATGCTCGATAAATAGTATGTTCTTTTTCTAATTATAGTTCTTCTTCTAATTGTATTGTTAAAAATTGAAAACTGTTAAATAATTCATGCTTACATGACATGATAAGAAAATTATATTGTTGAACTCCTAATTATAGTAAATGTAAATGTGAATGTAATACATATTTAAAAAATATGAATGGACGAGTCCAAAATACATAATAAACGGCCAGAAGGATACGGACGATCGATGCTCGATAAATAGTATGTTAGCCCACGGATGGCGGCGCTGTAATCATCTCTCTACCTCTCTTGATCTTATGGCGATATATAGCGAATTGCATTCTTTCTTTATCTTACACCCAATACTCGCCTTTCTATATGCGTCTTTCTTCCTCCCGTATGTGAGATATTGTTGGCTAACACATGCGATCTCTCTTTTACCCCCGCTTCTGGTTTGTTAGTCAACTTTTAAAGCATCAAGCGCTAACATAGGATCTGGGCTTCTATGGGACTTCTGAATTCTTTCCCTTTAAGAGCCACGTCTACGAGATGCAGGGTTGGCATAAGTCCAGTTTTATTACAAAAAGCCCCGCCCAAAGTTTTTAATCGGTTTAAACAATTTTTCCTGTTTTTTCCCGCCTAAATCGTTGCCTAAAAAACTGTGGGTAAAACCTGATTGAAACCATATTTAAACCGGGTTCTTCCCATTGTTTTATCCTGAGGATGAGCAGGAACGAAAATATGTTTGAATGCTACCTACACTGTAGATAGGTTAGAATTTATTTTAATTTGTTTGGAGGTCAGTGGAGCGCATGTGTAGGTGCAGGGTGCATACAATATTAAAATAAATTCTACGCTACATATATCCTGATGGATTTTATAAGATGGCTTTAACCGGTTAAGGTGAAGTGAAACTCCCTTCAAATCAATCGATTCTAATACAACACTTTTTTTTAAGGGTATTGGACCAAATTGTCTGAAACTTTGACACATTACTCGTGATCATCTAAGAATTGTCCTGATACATTCAAAATTAGGATTATTGGAAAAAAACTTCAGACCAGAATCAAAATGGCGTCGAGCTCTCATATTTCGATCAATATATAATTATCGAAGGGTCTGATATCAGAAACGAAAGGGTCAGGACAATTTTACGACAATTTAGAACACTTTGGTAATCGATAAACTCGCATTTGAACGGGATAAAGGCAAAAAAAGTGTTGTATGCGCTTCTATGCTAAAACGATGGGAATACGAGGTCTCGGAGTGAAAATTTAATTGACCTGGAAATCACAGATGGCGCAGGGGGCCCTCTGCAGTCAATTAGGGCCCCAGAAAGCATGAATCCAGATGATTTCTGGAGTTTTACTTCGATTTCTTTATAATTATTGTACGAAAACGACAGGTGGAGTATGCCATTTGGTACAATACCCAATATAATTCGACCCAGCTGTCAATATAAAAACCAACGTCGGCAACGTAGGTATTTAGAAAAATCTTCTTTATCGACGTCAATTAAGTTCCTCGACGTATTTCACTTCACCTTAAAACCCTGGGTTAAACTGAGGGGATTTTATGCAATGTATTTTATTTACTGGACTAAAACCGGGAAAAACCGCTGGTTTTAACCGGAATGGGTCAAACTTTGCCAACCCTGACGAGATGACATCCCATCGGTCATGCAAAATCGAGTATCCGGTACAATGTCGACGTTTCTGCACCTTCTTCTAACACGGTTTCGTCTACTTGCTCCTGCAATGACGTTAAACGCCTTCACTGAAACCTTGAAGGGAATTTTAAAACCCGATAACAAAACATGATCTCTTCGGTAATAATTTTCTTTTCGTTTTCAGAATTATTAGAATACGAGTTGAGCTTAAAAGTGAAACCGCACGGGTGCTAGTCTGAGGTGGAATTTAGTAGAAACCTTTTACATCTCATCGCTCAGTTTGAGATTTAACGCCTACATTTACATCCGGTTCCACATTTACAAGTAAACATTTTCAAATGTCCCCCGATCTTATTGATTTTCATATATCCCTAGTAGCATAGAATAATTTCTATTTGTTTGTAATCTTTGCTAAATATCTCAAGCGACAGATTTTTTAAGATTTCTTGTAGATTTCATTCGAAAATATCTGAGATATTTCTTGAAAATCTCAATGACATATTTAGTTTCAATAATTTCTAATCATATATAGAAATTATATTTTTTTAAATTTATGAACATATAATAAAAATACATTTCTTTTACTTCACGATAATTATGGGACACTTCATTTGGTATAAAGAAACACAAGAAATTTTTCTAATATTTTCTTTCCGCTATTTGATTGTAGGAGCAAAACGTGTGATTTTGATTTTAAATATTTTTAAAATGTTTATAATGTATTCGGCAGATAATTAAGAAATTCTTGATTTAAATTGAAACGAAATGTTTTGTATATCTGGTAGAAAAAGTATTATGAAAACACATGGAGCTAATATTATATAAATATTATAGGGATAATATTCTAAGGTAAACGTTTTGCAAATATTTCTAATGCCTGCTAAATATTTACAAAATGTACGATATTCGTTAAATATATAGAAAATATAGGACAAATACTTTGTGCTACTAGGGATGTTGAAGAACACCAAAATCTAAGAGACACGTGTTTTATTTTTTATCTGCAATGGTCCACATTTAAGGGGATGTGAAAGTGGCATCCGAAAGCTCAATCGTTCATAAAACTTTTTTACGAACTGGGTGTCTCAAATCGTTTCATACTTTAAAACATGAATATGGAGACCCTAAGGTAGGTCCTGAAACTCGGGAAATTTCATTTTTTATAAACTATTTTTAAAATACCTATAAACAAATTTGAAAAGAATTGAAATTTCATGAGTTTCAGGACCTTCCTTATAGTCTCCCTATTCACGTTGTAAAGTTTCAAACTATTCGGTAAACCGAGTTGGGAGAAAAGTTTTATAAACAAAACCTCTTCGACGCCACTTTCACATCACCTTAAGGGGATGTGAAAGTGGCATCCGAAAGCTCAATCGTTCATAAAACTTTTCTACGAACTGGATGTCTCAAATCGTTTCATACTTTAAAACGTGAATATGGAGACCCTAAGGTAGGTCCTGAAACTCGCGAAATTTCATTTTTTATAAACTATTTTTAAAATACCTATAAACAAATTTGAAAAGAATTGAAATTTCATGAGTTTCAGGACCTTCCTTATAGTCTCCCTATTCACGTTGTAAAGTTTCAAACTATTCGGTAAACCGAGTTGGGAGAAAAGTTTTATAAACAAAACCTCTTCGACGCCACTTTCACATCACCTTAAGGGGATGTGAAAGTGGCATCCGAAAGCTCAATCGTTCATAAAACTTTTCTACGAACTGGGTGTCTCAAATCGTTTCATACTTTAAAACGTGAATATGGAGACCCTAAGGTAGGTCCTGAAACTCGCGAAATTTCATTTTTTATAAACTATTTTTAAAATACCTATAAACAAATTTGAAAAGAATTGAAATTTCATGAGTTTCAGGACCTTCCTTATAGTCTCCCTATTCACGTTGTAAAGTTTCAAACTATTCGGTAAACCGAGTTGGGAGAAAAGTTTTATAAACAAAACCTCTTCGACGCCACTTTCACATCACCTTAAGGGGATGTGAAAGTGGCATCCGAAAGCTCAATCGTTCATAAAACTTTTCTACGAACTGGGTGTCTCAAATCGTTTCATACTTTAAAACGTGAATATGGAGACCCTAAGGTAGGTCCTGAAACTCGGGAAATTTCATTTTTTATAAACTATTTTTAAAATACCTATAAGCAAATTTGAAAAGAATTGAAATTTCTTGAGTGTCAGGACCTTCCTTACAGGCTCCCTATTCGCGTTGTAAAGTTTCAAACTATTCGGTAAATCGAGGTGGGAGAAAAGTTTTATAAACAAAACCTCTTTGACGCCACTTTCACACCACCTTAAGAGGATGTGAAACTTTTTTACGAACTGGGTGTCTCAAATCGTTTCATACTTTAAAACATGAATATGGAAACCCTAAGGTAGGTCCTGAAACTCGGGAAATTTCATTTTTTATAAACTATGTTTAAAATACCTATAAGCAAATTTGAAAAGAATTGAAATTTCTTGAGTTTCAGGACCTTCCTTACAGTCTCCCTATTCGTGCTGTAAAGTTTCAAACTATTCGGTAAACCGAGGTGGGAGAAACACTTCACCTTAAAATTTTGGATAAAAAAATGAAATTTCACGTGTGTCGGGACTTTCCTTGGAGTCTCTACATTTACGTGGTGAAGTTTGAAACGATTCAGTACCCTCAGTTTGGAGAAAAGTTCCACGAACGATCGATCCCTCGGATACCACTAACACATCCCCTTAAACCGTAAGTAAACAACCCGCCTGTTTAGCAGTCACATACAATTTTCTCAAAATTTCAGTGAGGCGCTTGGTGATCAGCTCAATACGCGTCTTCGGATGCCTGGAGATGGCTTTGGTTCCCACTAGAAGAAGCCATGGTACCGGAAGAGGTGACCAGGACAGGAAATCTACGTTTTATACCCGGCTGCAGGATAACACGAGGCCGAAGTGAACGCAACTTGGCCCAAAAGTACCAATCCCGTCTAAAACCTGCAGCCAGCTCCATCGACTCATCTCCAGGAACGCTAATCCGCTAACCTGGAACGGTCTAAACGTCTTAAAGCGTACCGTGTCGCTAACTCGAATCTCCCTAAACAGAAGTACCTCGAGGATCGCTCTAAAAAGACCGTTCACCAGTGTTTAGGCCAGCCGCAACTAACGCTAGTCTCCGCAAATCGGTGATCGATCGGTGATCGATCGGCGAGCTACGTCGCCCTAAGGGCGCGTTCGCGCCCTAGAATTTTGTACTCGTGACGCGAAGTACATATTCCTGCTTATTGTCGCGATCAGAAGGTCATTCTGTTCGTATAGTCAGCTAGACTTACGCTAGTCTAATCATCGAGCGTGTCTAATCACCCCGCGAGGACGACCCTCGGACCCGAGGGTGAGACGAAGTGCTTCTCCGGCGAACGAATCGTCAGCCATCGTCGTCTCTTCCCATGGCGAACGCAAGACTAAGGCCAAGAGAAGCCGAACGCCGATTGGCTGGATTCCAGGATCTTCGCCACATTCGTATCAGCGAGCCCGCCGAATCGCTCGCCACGTTGCCGACTGGAGGAAAAAAATGATAACCTAGGAGCAAATCAGATGATAAAGGTCGAGGCTTAGTCGTCAGGATTTGTCGCACGAAGCCGCAACCTCGTCCTTAGCCTCGACGCTATGTCGGCAACGTGGCGTGGTCCCATCCTGCGGTTAAGGGATCTTCAGAATCACGCGTGCGTGGGACCGATCACGTTCCCGGTGGAGGAGGTAATCTGTTCCTCGGCCTCCATCATCTTCAGCTTCCGGACCACTTGGGCGTGTTCCTCCAGGAGCCTCGCGAACTCCCCTCTGCGGGTCTCGGCCTCCACCTGGATTTGCTTGATCCTCTCCCTGGGACTCCCCGGACTGTCCAAAGGGGTTTGGGACGTGGAGTTCTGAGAGCTGCTGCCGGTTGACACTCCGTCCAAGTCCGGGCTCTCGCTCAGGATCGACTGAGAGTCCACGTCGTCCACTATCAAGCTGGAAAGGAAAGGATGAGTTCGTTATATGACCGGAAGAAAGGAGGTTTAGGAACTAGGGTTGTTACCAGCACCTCGCTAGGGCCGGTTGCAACAACACTCGCGTTGTAATCTTATATTAACCCTTTGCGGTCGCATTTTCCCAAGATCAAGAGAATTTTGGTGGCTGAGAGTAGACATACGACCGCAAAGGGTTAAAGTGAAACACCCTTCAAATAAGTCGATTTGAATACAACACTTGTTTTTAAAGGCATTAGACCAAACTGTCCAAAACTTTGACACGTCACTCTTGATCATCTAAGAATTGTCCTGACGCATTCAAAATTTGGATTTTTCAAACAAATTTTGTAACTCAGTCCAGACCAAAATGACGTGAGCTCTCATGTTTCGATCAATATACAATTTTCGAAGGCTCTGATACGAGAAACGAAAGGGTCAGGACAATTTTACGACAACTGAGAACACTCTGGTAATCTATAAACCAGCATTTGAACGGGATAAAGGCAAAAATGTGTTTTATGCGCTTCTATGCTAAAACGATGGGGATACGAGGTCTCAGAGTGAAAATCTAATTCACCTGGAAATCACAGATGGCGCAGGGGGTCCCTCTGCAGGCAATTAGGGCCCCAGAAAGCATGAATCCAGAGGATTTCTGGAGTTTTACTTCGATTTCTTTAAGAAATCAAATCGGAAAGATCGATCTGGGATACCTTCCTTGTCAGTTGGGAATAATTCTGGTCGCTAATCAATTACCGGTCCCGTTTGAGCTGTGCTCTTACTTAAGGGGGTCGTACTATGTGACGGCCCTAAAAGTTACCTTACAGAAAGTGCAGCCGTCCCGAGCAAACTTTTTAATTACGTATTCGTTTAGAATTATATTTTATTTTTAGTTTGTACCTGAAATAAACATTATCCATGTACGGTTTGCTCGGTTCCCGTTCCCAAAATACTTAATATTTTAATTTTTACAAGCCTTTCAAGTTATGGTGGGCTTTATTACCCAAAGTTACCTTACAGAAAGTCCAGCCGTCCCGAGTAAACTTTTGAATTAAGAATTCGTTTAGAATTATATGTTAGTTTTTAGGTTGTACCTGAAACAAACATTGTTCATGCACGGTCTGCTCGTATCCTTTCAAGTTATGGTGGGTCTTATTACCCGAAGATACCTTACAGAAAGTCCAGCCGTCCCGAGCAAACCTTTTAATTACGTATTCGTTTAGAATTATATTTTATTTTTACAGTTTGTACCTGAAACAAACATTGTCTATGTACGGTCTGCTCGGTTCCCGTTCCCAAAATACTTAATATTTTAATTTTTACAAGCTTTTCAAGTTACGGTGGGCCTTATTACCCAAAGTTACCTTACAAAAAGTGCAGCCGTCCCGAGCAAACTTTTTAATTACGTATTCGTTTAGAATTATATTTTATTTTTAGTTTGTACCTGAAACAAACATTGTCCATGCACGGTCTGCTCGTATCCTTTCAAGTTATGGTGGGCCTTATTACCCAAAGTTACCCTACAGAAAGTGCAGCCTTCCCGAGGAAACTCAACGTATCAATCGTCGCTGGTACTCGAACGGACGGCTCAAAGAAGAAGACCGTCCCGTTGGACGGTAGCCCATTCTCGTTTCCGCCATTTATTAGCATCGAAATGGCCCCCCAAGGCTCCTAATGACGACTCACAGCCTCTTCAAAGTCCCCCTGCGATCCGGTTCATCTCTTCCCCGATCCGGGGACCTCCTTCTCGCGCTTTGGGAGCCCCGCTTGGGAAGTCTCGAATAAAACGGCATACTAGCCGAAGTAATCCCGGCTCAAAGTAGCTTTGCAGCTCGGCTCGAGGGAAAAGAATGGCCCGGCAGGAGAGTTAATCCTCCCAAGGCGGGTCTTCCCGTACATCCCCGGTGAAATAAACGTCTCCTTAGCGTTTCCGGCCGCGATTTAGCGACGCCGAACGCGCGTCTCGACAGCCCCTCGAATATCTCTAGCCGGGATTATCGGCTTTCGCGACGTCGAGATTTCAGGTTTGATCTGATTTCCCGCCGATCGAAAATAGAGGGTCCAAGATTTCTGCTGGTTATACTCGAGTCTAGCTCGTACCCACTGAACACCAAACCTAACAGTTACGTAACTTAAAACTAACATGTAACATAACGTTTGTTACAACGTAATAACCTAACAGTTACGTAACTTAAAACTAAGAAATAACATAACGTTTGTTACCATCAGATCTATATAAATGTAGCGTAACTTTGTTACTCTCATCTTACATTATGTTACTGTCCTGATATTACTGGGTATATGCAGCACATACTTGTAACAAAACGGAACTACATTGGGGCTAACTGTCATTTATTTTATTATATCGTCGTCATCGTCATTGTCATAATTCATCGTCAAATGTCGTAAGATTAATATATGTCATGTTTTGTTTACTACTCGTATGAAAAAATGTGACTTTAATTCATACGCGCATATACATTATCGGTCATTGTTTGCTAGTCGAATGAAATCCTAATTGTCTTTAAGTAAAATCAGATTGTTTATCATTACATAATTTCATTGAAAATCTGATTTGTCATTTAATATCTAAATATTGTCAAGTACCAAGAAATAATTAAAAATAAAAAATTATATAATTTTGGATAAAATTGCGTCATCTATTTTATTAAATGGATGATAAATTAATATTATTATAAGGTAACTGAAATTATAACATTAATGTAACATTGATATAACGTGTTATATTACATGTTACCTTACCGAGTGGGAAATAATAACTAACATCTAACTTCCATGCTACTTTTATGCTACATAACGTGTTAGTTTCGAAAACGTAACATTTACCCAACAGTTATATAACAATGTTCACTGGGTACTTCAGTCAATTCGGAGCAGTTTTACTTGGGACTCGAGTTATCGGCACGAATGAATGCTGGTGATGAGTCTGAGAGCGAGAACGTGTCATAAGACATTTTTTTTTGTTGACCAATTCAGGGTCACGGGACACTTTTTTTGCCTTTATCTCGTTCAAATGCGAGTTTCTCGATTACCAGCGTGTTCTAAATTGTTGTACAATTGTTGGATGAGGCGCCTAAATCCGGCCGCCAGGTCATTGTTATAACATTAAGGTGAAGTGAAACCCCCTTCAAGTCAGTCGATTCGAATACAACACTTTTTTTAAGGGTATTAGATCAAACTATCCGAAACTTTGACACGTCACTCCTGAACATCTAAGAATTGTCCTGATAGATTAAAAATTAGGATTTTTAAAAAAAAATTTTCTAACTCAGCCCAGACCAGAACCAAAATGGCGTCGAGCTCTCATATCTCGATCAATATACAATTATCAAAACCTCTGATATGAGAAATGAAAGGGTCAGGACAATTTTACGACTATTTAGAACACTCTGGTAATCGATAAACTCGCATTTGCACGGGATAAAGGCAAAAAAAGTGTCTTATGCGCTTCTATGCAAAAGCGACGGGAATACAACGTCTCGGAGTGAAAATTTAATTGTCCTGGAAATCGCAGATGGCGTAGGGGGTCTCTCTACAGTCAATTAACCCTTTGCGGTCGTATGTCTACTCTCAGCCACCAAAATCCTCTTGATCTTGGGAAAATGCGACCGCAAAGGGTTAAGGCCCCAGAAAGCATAAATTTAGAAGATTTCTGGAGTTTTACTTCGATTTCTTTATAATTATTGTACGAAAACGACAGGTGGAGTATGCCATTTGGTACAATATCCAATATAATTTGACACAGCTGACAATATAAAAACGAACGTCGGCACGTATGCATTTAGAAAAATCTTCTTTATCGACGTTGATCAAGTTTCTGGACGTGTTTCACTTCACCTTAATACGTAGATTAGTCTAGCATATTCAAGCGACGTGTTTCACTTCACCTTAAGGCCCGAGATGAAAAGACGAAGAGCTTGAGTGGACGGGAATGGAAATGCGCTAAAGTGGGCGAATTAAATGAAGCGACGAATCCAGAGCGGCGCTTCCGCCTCGACGCGTTCCTCGCGGTGGCCCGATCAGCTGACTTTGACGGATGCGAGATCCGTTTTTCCCGCACCCCCCGGGTCCCCGAGGTCGCCGGAATCGACCAGGGCGAGAGGGTCGGACCTCGGTCTTCCCATCGAACGGGGGCGCGTCCTCTCTAGACGCGCATTTTCGACAAAGAGCCGGAAGGAGCATCGGGCGATTAAGGTGAAGTGAAACACGTCGAGGAACTTGATCGACGTCGATAAAGAAGATTTTTCTAAATGCCTACGTTGCCGAAGTTCGTTTTTATATTGACAGCTGTATCGAATTATATTGGATATTGTACCAAATGCTATACTCCACCTGTCGTTTTTGTACAATAAATATCAAGAAATCGAAGTAAAACACCAGAAATCCTCTAAATTCATGCTTTCTGGGGCCCTAATTGACTGCAGAAGGACCCCCTACGCCATCTGTGATTTCCAGGTCAATTAAATTTTCACTCCGAGACCTCGTATTCCCATCGTTTTAGCACAGAAGCGCATGATACCCTTTTATTGCCTTTACCCCATTCAAATGCGAGTTTCTCGATTATCAGAGTGTTCTAAATTGTCGTAAAATTGTCCTGACCCTTTTGTTTTTCATATTAGAGCCTTCAATAATTGTATATCGATCGAAATATGAGAGCTCGACGCCATTTAGGTTCTGATTTTGGCTAAGTTAAAAAATTCGGCAAATTCAGAAATCCAAATTTCGTATGTGTCAGGATAATTCCTAGGTGCTCAGGAGTTATTTGTCACAGTTTCAGGCAATTCTATCCGATATTCTTAAAAAAAAAAGTGTCTTATTCGGGTCGACTGATTTGAGGGGGGTTTCACGTCACCTTCAAGTGAAGTGAAACACGTCGAGGAACTTGATCGACGTCGATAAAAAAGATTTTTCTAAATGCCTACGTTGCTGAAGTTCGTTTTTATATTGACAGCTGGGTCGAATTATATTGGGTATTGTACCAAATGGCATACTCCACCTGTCGTTTTCGTATATTAAAATTATAAAGAAATCTAAGTAACACTCCAGAAATCCTCAGAATTCATGCTTTCTGGGGCCCTAATTGACTGCAGAGGGACTCCCTGCGCCATCTGTGATTTCCAGATCCATTAAATTTTCACGCCAAGACCTCGTATTCCCATCGTTTTAGCATAGAAGCCCATACAACACTTTTTTTGCCTTTACCCCATTCAAATGCGAGTTTCTCGATTATCAGACTGTTCTAAATTATCGTAAAATTGTCCTGACCCTTTCGATTCTCATATCAGAGCCTTTGATAATTGTATATTGATCGAAATACGAGAGCTTGACGCCATTTTGCTTTTGGTCTGGGTTAAGTTAAAAAATTTTTTTTTTTATCCAAATTTTGAATGTGTCAGGACAATTCTTAGATAATCAGGAGTGATGTGTCAAAGTTTTGGACAGGTTGGTCTAATACCCTTAAAGAAAAGTGTTGTATTCGAATCGACTGATTTGAAGGGGGTTTCACTTCACCTTAAACCGCGATGCTCCGGTAGGAACGGTCGCCGCTTGCGTCAGACTTGCGTCACCGAGCCGCCGCATACGTGGGCACGGCGAGGATCGTTAAAGTTCTTTTCCCCCGACCTGGACCCGCTCAACGTGTATCCGGCGTCGTCCTTTTGTGAAAAGTAGAAAGAGAAAGAAACGAATTCAGCCGTTCCACCGAATAGGACAGTATTTATAGAGCGTGTCTGTAAAAAAAGCGATTGGATGCAGGGCCGTCCTACGTCACGTCCTACTCCTGCGCGAGGGTACAGTAGGGCTCGTTGACGTTCCCCGGATCGATCCAGATAGGCGTCGCTCGAGTACTCGACTTCTGTCCCTTTTTCTTCCCAGGGACTTAAGGCGAAGTGAAACCCGTTGCAAACCAGTCTACTCGAATTTTGTCCTTTTTTCTCCCCAAGGACTTAAGGTGAAGTGAAACCCGTTGCAAACCAGTCTACTCGAATTTTGTCCCTTTTTCTTCTCAAGGACTTAAGGCGAAGTGAAACCCGTTCCAAACCAGTCTACTCGAATTTTCTCCCCTTTTCTCCCCAGGGACTTAAGGCGAAGTGAAACCCGTTCCAAACCAGTCTACTCGAATTTTGTCCTTTTTTCTCCGCAGGGATTTAAGGCGAAGTGATACTCGTTGCAAACCAGTCTGCTCGAATTTAGTCCCTTTTTCTCCCCTACGGCTTAAGGCGAAGTGAAACCCGTTGCAAACCAGTCTACTCGCATTTTATTTCTTTTTTTCCCCAAGGGCTTAAGGCGAAGTGAAACGCATTGCAAACCAGTCTACTCGACTTCTGTCCCTTTTTCTTCCCAGGGACTTAAGGGGATGTGAAACCCATTGCAAACCAGTCTACTCGAATTTTGTCCCTTTTTCTCCTCAAGGATTTAAGGCGAAGTGAAACCCGTTGCAAACCAGGCTACTCGAATAAGACCCTTTTTACACCCCCCAAAAAGTGTTGTATGCGCTTCTATGCCAAAACTATGGTAATACGACGTCTCGGAGTGAAGATTTAATTGATCTGGAAATCACAGATGGCGCAGGGGGTCCCTCTGCAGTCAATAAGGGCCCCAGAAAGCATGAATACGAAGGATTTCTGGAGTTTTACTTAGATTTCTTTATATGTTTAATACGAAAACGACAGGTGGAGTATGCCATTTGGTACAATACCCAATATAATTCGATACAGCTGTCAATATAAAAACGAACCTCGGCAACGGAGGCATTTAGAAAAATCTTCTTTATCAACGTCGATCAAGTTCCTCGGTGTGTTTCACTTCACCTTAAGAAAGTGTCCGACTCGTCCATGAGGCCGCTATTCTCGGAAGAACTCGGATGGGCTTGTGGTCTACGGCCGGGCGGGGGTCGAGGGGCTCGTCGGACTATACCATCTAGGTTCCCTCCGCGGTCCTCGGTCGCTCCTTCCGAGTGGCATGAAATATTCGGAAGGAAATAGCCCCGCGGTATACGCGGCGCACCGAGCGGCAATCCGCGCTCCGAGGTACACACTCCGCGTATCGACTGGCTCTCCCACGCGCGAACTTTACCGAAGGTCGTATCGGAAATGTACTCCCACGAAAATTCTGGAAATAACTCCCCCCGCGAGCGTCGCGCCCTCTGGCGCGATAAGCGGATGTGGGTGCTCGCGCGAGGAACCTTCCGATGGGATGGTATTTCTACCCCGGAGCCGGTAAATCCGTCGACGACCTCCTAGATAGCGGCCCTCGGGGCACTTTCCCATCCCCTTAAGGTAAAGTGAAACCCCGTTCAAATCAGTCGATTCGAATACACTTTTTTTTAAGGGTATTGGACCAAAGCGAGAAAGTACGTTTTGGTTACCTCCCACCGAATTCGATGCCAATGCCATCTAGCGGTGGAAGTCATCGTCCCCACTTTGGTAGCGAACGCCGTTAAGGTGAAGTGAAACCCCCTTCAAATCAGTCGATTCGAATGCAATACTTTTTTTTAAGGGTATTAGACTAAACTGCCCGAAACTTTGATACATGACTCATGATCATCTAAGAATTATCCTGACACATTCAAAATTTGGATTTTTGGAAAAAAATGTTTAACTCAGCCCAGACCAAAATGGCGTCGAGCTCTCATATTTCGATCGATATACAATTATCAAAGGCTCTGATATGAGAATCCAAAGGGTCAGGACAATTTTACGACAATTTAGAACACCCTGGTAGTCGATAAACTCGCATTTGAACGGGATAAAGGGGAAAAAAGGGTTTTATGCGCTTCTCTGCTAAAACGATGGGAATACGAGGTCTCGGAGTGAAAATTTAATTGACTTGGAAATCACAGATGGCGCAGGGGGTCCCTCTGCAGTCAATTAGGGCCCCACAAAGTTTGAATCCAGCGGATTTCTGGAGTTTTACTTCGATTTCTTTATAATTACTGTACAAAAACGACAGGTGGAGTATGCCATTTGGTACAATACCCAATATAATTCGACCCAGCTGTCAATATAAAATCCAACGTCGGCAACGTAGGCATTTAGAAAAATCTTCTTTATCGACGATGATCAACTTCCTCTTCGTGTTTCACTTCACCTTAAGTTACTGCATTGTAACAAATGTCATGTAACTAGTTAGCTCTATGTTACGTAACTGCTAGGTTATTACATTGGAACAAACGTTATGTTATTTGTTAGTTTTAAGTCACGTAACTGTTAGGTTTGGTCTTCAGTGGGCAAATGCCTCCCCATTACATATTATTTCACCGGTAGTAGAGTTTGTAAAAAAAGGCATTCGCACCCACCAGGGTACATCCTGGATAAACATCCAAGATGAAAACATTGGGTTTGGCGAAAAATTACCTGAACGCTCCGTGTATCTCCCGACCTGAGGCCATCGTCACGGCAATGTCCGGCAGCGACCCTGAAATCAGGAAAATCATTTCTTAGGATTTGTATGGATCGATTCTGGGAGCGGCGAAGCATCTCAACGCGTTTACGAAGCTCCTGTCTTTGAGTTTCATGAATGAAACACCGTAAACTTGGCACTCGTTATCCCTCTATGGGCCGAATTTTTGTTTTAAATAAAAAAAAAATTGGGGGAACGAAAAATCAGCAATTAGGAACCTATATATGCAAATGAAAAAAAATTTTTCATTTAAAATGTGACCTGAAAGTTACACGGGCCCATAGAGGGTTAAGGTGAATTGAAACCCCCTTCAAATCAGTCGATTCGAATACATTTTTTTTTAAGGGTATTGGATTAAACTGTCCGAAACTTTGACACATGTCTCGTGAGCATTTAGGAATTATCCTGACAGTTTAAAAATTTCGATTTTTGGAACAAATTTTTTAACTCAGCACAGACGAGAACCAAAAGGGCGTCGAGCTCTCATATTTCGATCAATATACAATTATTAAAGACTCTGATATGAGAAACGAAAGGGTCAGGACAATTGTACGACAATTTAGAACACTGTGGTAATTGAGAAACTCGCAATTAAACGGGATAAAGGCAAAAAAAGTGTCACGCGCTTCTACGCTAAAATGATGGGAATATGAGGTCTCGGAGTGAAAATTGAATTGACCTGGAAATCACAGATGGCGCAGGGGGTCCCTCTGCAGTCAATTAGGGCCCGAGAAAGCATGAATCTGGAGGATTTCTGGAGTTTTACATCGATTTCTTTTTAATTATTGTACGAAGAAGACAGGTGGAGTATGCCATTTGGTAAAACACCCAACATAATTCGACCCAGCTGTCAATATGAAAATGAACATCGGCAACGTAGGTACTTAGAGAAATCTTCTTCATCGACGTCGATCAAGTTCCCCGACGTGTTTCACTTCACTTTAAGGTGAAGTAAAACCTCCCTCAAATCAGTCGACTCGAATAAGACATTTTTATTTTAAGAATATCGGATAGAATTGTCTGAAATTTTGACAAATAACTCCTGAGCATCTAGGAATTATCCTGACACTTACGAAATTTGGATTTCTGAATTTGCCGAATTTTTTAACTTAGCCAAAATCAGAAGTAAACTTGCGTCGAGCTCTCATATTTCGATCGATATACAATTATTGAAGGCTCTAATATGAGAAATAAAAGGGTCAGGACAATTTTACGACAATTTAGAACACTCTGATAATCGAGAAACTCGCATTTGAATGGGGTAAAGGCAAAAAAAAGTGTCTCACGCTCTTCAACGCTAAAATGATGGGAATACGCGGATTCGGAGTGAAAATTTAATTGACCTGGAAATCACAGATGGCGCAGGGGGTCCCTCTGCAGTTAATTAGGGCCCCAGAAAGCATGAATCCAGAGGATTTCTGGGGTTTTACATCGATTTCTTTATAATTATTGTACGAAAACGACAGGTGGAATATGCCATTTGGTACAATACCCAACATAATTCGACGCAGCTATCAATATAAAAATGAACGTCGACAACGTAGGTACTTAGAGAAATCTTCTTTATCGACATCAATTAAGTTCCGCGACGTGTTTCACTTCACCTTAAGGCGCAGTTTGCACCGCGCGGTCGGATTACACCAAGGCCGTTTCCCCGTAGGTTTTCTTCCGCATTTTCCGTTTTTCCTAACCCGCAGCCGGTGAAACAAAGGGCAGGAAGTAACATTTGGAAGAACGTGCTGGAACGGCCTTGCCTGCTTGCATTGTCTCTTCGGTACATACGGCTTAATTAAACGCCTCGCGACGGTATGTAACGTCAGCTCTCGTATCGTCTTACGTGCAAGCAACGATATGAACCTCCAACGACGCTGTCTCGCTATCGACCGATCGAAACTCGAGAGTCACTCTTGCCGATGCAAGAAACATTCCTCGATGGTGCAACAATGTAGCCGAGAGTTTTTCCGACTCGGCCTATTATTACGGACACTTAATATGCTTGCAGTAATCGCGGAGTTTCCGGGAAAACATGTTTAAGGTGAAAAGTGAAACACGTCGAAGAACTTGATCGACGTCGATAAAGAAGATTTCTCTAAATGCCTATGTTGCCGACGTTGGTTTTTATATTGACAGCTGGGTCGAATTATATTGGGTATTGTACCAAATGGCATACTCCACCTGTCGTTTTAGTACAATAATTATAAAGAAATCGAAGTAAAACTCCAGAAATCCTCTGGATTCATGCTTTCTGGGGCCCTAACTGACTGCAGAGGGACCCCCTGCGCCATCTGTGATTTTCAGGTCAATTAAATTTTCACTCCGAGACCTCGTATTCCCATCGTTTTAGCATAGAAGCGCAGAAAACACTTTTTTTTGCACTATCCCGTTCAAATGCGAGTTTATCGGTTACCAGAGTGTTCTAAATTGTCGTAAAATTGTCCTGACCCTTTCGTTTCTCATATTAGAGCCTTCAATAATTGCATATTGATCGAAATATGAGAGTTCGACGCCATTTTGATTCTGGTATGGGCTGAGTTAAACAATTTTTTCCAAAAATCCAAATTTTGAATGTGTCAGGACAATTCTTAGACGATCACGAGTCATGTGCCAAAGTTTCGGACAGTTTGGTCAAATACCCTTAAAAAAAGTGTTGTATTCGAATCGACTGATCTGAAGGCGGTTTTACTTCACCTTAATATGCGTGTAGTAATCGCGGCATTTCCGGCAAAAAGTGTTTAAGCGCGGTCGTAAAGACCCGCGCGATGGGGCAACGATCCAGAGTTGGCAAACTTTAACCCATTCAGGTTAAAACCGGCGGTTTTTTTCCTGTTCTTGTCCAATAAATAAAATACATTACGTAAATCCCCCTCGGTTTGACCCAGGATTTTAAGGTGAAGTGGAAGCCCCCGTCGAGTCAGTCTAGTCGAATATACCTTTTTTTTTAAGGGTATTGGATAGAACTGTCCGAAACATTGACATATGTCTCGTGAGCACTTAGGAATTGTCCTGACTGTTTCAAAATGTTGATTTTTGGAACAAATTTTTTAACTCAGCTCAGACCAGAACCAAAATGGCGTCGGGCTCTCATATTTCGATCCATATACAATTATTGAAGACTCTGATATGAGAAACGAAAGGGTCAGGACAATTTTACGACAATTTAGAACACTCTGGTAATCGATAAACTCGCATTTGAACGGGATAAAGGCAAAAAAAGTGTTGTATGCGCTTCTATGCCAAAACGATGGGAATACGAGGTCTCGGAGTGAAGATTTAATTGACCTGAAAATCACAGATGGCGCAGGGGGTCCCTCTGCAGTCAATTAGGGCCCCAGAAAGCATGAATCCAGAGGATTTCTGGAGTTTCACTTAGATTTCTTTATAATTACTGTACGAAAACGAAAGGTGGAGTATGCCATTTGGTACAATACCCAATATAATTCGACCCAGCTGTCGATATAAAAACGAACATCGGCAACGTAGGCATTTAGAAATATCTTTATCGACGTCGACCAAGTTCCTCGACGTGTTTCACTTCACCTTAAAGCTGTACAGATTGGTTTACAGAGATATATCGCAACGCGGGTAACCACCTATACTTGCGATCGATATTCCTCGTAGATACTTGCCGGCTATTTGCATAAACGAATCTCTACGTGCGCGAGAATCGGGTACAGAAAAATTCGCGTACCTCGCTATCGCGATATTCTCCTCACGACGACTTGGCGAAATGGACCGCGCAAGGTGGATGCATAAATATTATAATAATTCATTATATACACATAATATTATAGTACACATAATGTTATAATAAAATATTATAATAAATATCGCTACCGCGGTATTCTCCTTACGACGACTTGGCGAACTGGACCGCGCAAGGTGGATACATAAATATTATAATAATTCGTTGTTATAATAAAATATTATAATAAATATCGCTACCGCGGTATTCTCCTTACGACGACTTGGCGAACTGGACCGCGCAAGGTGGATACATAAATATTATAATAATTCTACTGGTCGTGTGAGCTTGCGCAATTTTTTTTTTTTTAACGTAATCACGGCCGGTAAACCACGCAGATGATGAATACGGCCACGACGTTATCTGCCTTGCGTCAAAAGGTGCAAAAATGAAGAGGCTAAATCGGATGAAGCTATCCGGGACACTCGTGCGTCGGTTTTCTTCCTCTAATATGCCAGCCGCGTGTAATGCGCACCTTGCAATTTCCGTGAATAATTAGACCCGTGTCCTAATTAACCGACGCTTAATGCAGGGAAAGTATCTGCCTGCAGTGCACCTTATTCCTGCTAAATTGTAGCCGCGGTCTTTAGTCGAGGCAGGTCCTGCAGTTAATTAATGTGTGCAAGGATAACATTTGAAATGATAGGAAAACGTCTAAATAATTGAGGTTTGCGGGAATAAAAGTATTTTTCTTTTTTATTTCATAAAATGGAATTTCCTTAGTCTCACGACTTTCATTAGGACTTCCATAAACACGTGTTAAAGTTTCAAATTGTTCGGTACTCCCGGTTTGGAAAAAAGTTTCATAAATATACTGACGCTTTCGTATGCATAAATTGACCTTTCACCGCCACCCAAGATGATATGAAAGGAGCTGAGAAATTTAATCGATGTCGATAAATTAAAATTCATCTATACCATTTTTGGGGGGAACGTCATTTTGAATATTTAAGTAGTAACATAAGCTGACGCGTCCCGTTACCGACATTTATATTTATGTTGAGGTTTTTTTACACTCTACGTTGATAATTATACGAACTGAATCGTTCCATATGTCATTTCGGTAAAATAATGATGAAGAGATCGACGTAAAACTGTCGAAATCTCGTGTTCATTGTTCTAACTACTGTTTAGGACCGACGTCGCCATCTGTGACGTTTAGCTGCAACTACATTTTTGCCCTGAAGACACGTGTTAGCCCCGAGACAAGCTAGCATTCTCTTGCAATCGTTGGTTAAATTAAATTGGATGAATTAAAATTCATCTATACCCT